ATTGACATGGTTAGGTCCAAATGCTATTGTCTGAATTTTCATCGCTCGTTCACAAAAACTTTTTGCTTTTTCGTACTCTCCCATTTTAGTGTAAACCGAACCGAGATTTCTGTACATTATCGCAATATTAACATGGTCAGGTCCAAATGCTTTTGTTTGAATATGTATCGCTCGTTCATAAAAATTATTTGCTCTTTCGTGCTCTCCCATATTTTCGTAAACCAAACCCAGATTGTTGTACGTTATCCCAATATTAGCATGGTCATGTCGAAATGTTTTCGTTTGAATTTCTATCGCTCGTTCATAAAAATCTTTTGCTTTTTCGTACTCCCCCATATTATTGTAAACCAAACCCAGATTGATGTACGTTATCGCAATATTAACATGGTTAGGTCCAAATGTTTTTGCTTGAATTTCTATCGCTCTTTCATAAAAATCTTTTGCTTTTTCGTACTCTCCCATAATATCATAAACCAAACCCAGACTGATGTACGTTTTCGAAAGATTAACATGGTCAGGTCCAAATGCTTTCGTTTGAATTTCTATCGCTTGTTCATAAAAATCTTTTGCTTTTTTGTACTGTCCCATATTATTGCAAACCGAACCCTGATTGTTGAACGTTGTCGCAATAATAACATGGTCAGGTCCAAATGTTTTCGTTTCAATTTTCATCGCTCGTTCATAAAAATCTTTTGCTTTTTCGTACTCTCCCATTTTACTGTAAACCGAACCCAGATTGTTGTACGTTGTCGCAATATTAACATGGTCAGGTCCAAATGTTTTCGTTTCAATTTCTATCGCTCGTTCATGAAAATCTTTTGCTTTTTCGTACTCTCCCATATCTTTGTAAACCGAACCCAGATTGTTGTACGTTGTCGCAATATTAACATGGTCAGGTCCAAATGCTTTCGTTTCAATTTCTATCGCTCGTTCATAAAAATCTTTTGCTTTTTCGTACTCTCCCATATTATTGTAAACCGAACCCAGATTGTTGTACGTTGTCGCAATATTAACATGGTCAGGTCCAAATGCTTTCGTTTCAATTTTCATCGCTCGTTCATAAAAATCTTTTGCTTTTTCGTACTCTCCCATATCATCGTAAACCAAACCCAGATTGTTGTACGTTGCCGCAATGTTAACATGGTCAGGTCCAAATGTTTTTGCTTGAATTTCCATTGCTCGCTCGAGAAAATCTTTACCATTTTCATATCCTCCATTCTTCAAAAGCAATGAACCCAGCTCGTTGTACGAATATGAAACATCAATATGATCAACACCTAACACTTTAGTTTGAATTTCTGTTATTTCATAAAGTACTTCAGTTGCAAGTTTATAGTTGCAAAATCTTTTCAAAACATCTACAAAATATTTGGCAAGTTTCCAATTTCTTTCATCAAGTTTTTGTTTTGATGATTTTACATCGATCAACTTATTTAGGAAATGTTGAAATGATGAAGTTGTTATGAATTTAATTAGATGTGGAAGTATTTTGATTTCATCTTCTCTGTCTTCAAAATGATTTAGTGCCCAAGCAACTTGACAGGCAAGATCAGCTGCAGACTTTTTAGAGTTATTTTCGTTTTGTTTACAGCCAAAGGTCTGCGATGAATAATTTACGATGGCTTTGTGTACAACGCTGTGCAGGCGGATGTCATTGTTTTCCGTTTGAAGGAATAAAGAACAATGCTTTAATTGAAGACAGACATCTTCTGCAGATTTTTGTGGATCAATGCTTTTAATAAATTGTATTATAACATCTTGTGGTAAGGGATCGAAAGATATTATTGAGAAAAGTTTAAAACATGTTCCAACAAGATGGATTCTTCAGCATTTTTTGTACTGCTAACATAACAGTTTTCATTCCTAAGTAAGATGTGTTTATTTTTGAAAATTGCCATCCATGTTCTGTCGCTCTCCTTCATTCAACTTATCAAAATATTGCTCCCACGTGAATGTCGGATTTACACTTTTACACTACCTACGTAGGAAGCAGCATTTGCCAGGAACAACGGTTGACGATCTAATTTGTCTGATAAATCCTTTAAAATTTTTCATCTTTATTATGAATATCAGAAAAGACAGATAGAAGTTCTAGACATTCTTCATTGTTCATACCATGACTAACTGAAATGTGTTTATTTAGACTTCCATCTGGTGGTATAGCATCTGTATTTTGGACAGTTACTATAATTTGACCATTTTTCCAACTATGATCACCAACTTGAGGTAATAATGGATAAATTTTTTGAAGTTCAACAACGTTATCTACAACAATCCACCATGTTTGCCAAGATTTCAGTTGCTGTGTCAGCAATAATTGAAAATCTTTGATTTTGTCTTCACTGCTTTTTGCTTTTTTTAAAATGATTTCAATGACAGTTTTATCATTGCTTAATCGTTGATAAAGTTCAGCATAAGTGTTCAAAAGAGAGTCGATATCTTTTCCGTCGAGTGTCATCACAAATGTCGTATTCTTTTCCCAGTTAAATGAGTTATACATTTCTTCACAAATTTGTCTAGCTAATTGAGATTTACCACTGCCAGGATTACCAGAAATATAGTAATATGTTAGTTCATTATTGTTAGTACTGCGCAAGTTATTGAGATCTGCTGTGATTTGATTAAGTAATTTTGTACGTTTAACTACATCGTGATTTGATTTGAAAGGAAGTACTTGAAAAGAATTAAATTTGTTTCGTTCACTTTTTATTTCACTAATTTCAGTGAGTGAAAATCCTAGATCTTGAAATGAGTTTTCAATGTCACAAACCATTGTGCGATAGTCAGTATCAGATATTTTTCCATCTTCATTATGAGCGATTTTGTTTCTTACATGACGAAGTTTGTCCACAGCAGCTCTAACTTTTAAATCAATTTTTGTTCCAATTGAGTGGGTAAACAATAATGCTTTACATAATGCTGTACAATCCCACTTACTTGTGTCACCATCTTTAAATTTTGACAAAGTTTGTCTATCACAAAATTTTTTCTCTGATATTTCAATTTTAAACAACTTCTGACCACTAACGTTTGTATTATCCCATACTCCGTGGTCTTTACTGCAATGAGCGTTCCACTCTTGGATAAATAAATCAACAAGTTTCTTTTTAACGACACTTTTAAGTATTTTCTGCAAGTAGTTATAGTTCTTTTCTCTTCTTGACTCCATCTAAGGGTCAAAAAAATATTAATATGAACATAAATTGTTTGTTTAATTTGAATTTATAGACAACTAAAATTGTTGAAGATCAAACATGGCTACGTAATGTTACAGTTTTACTTGTACATGTAAATGAATATCGAGGATGGCAGCTGAAAACAACGCAATTGGACATTTTAATTTTCCTGCATTAAGCATTTGACTACATTTTGGTAGTGGCTTCGGCAGGATTATGCTAGTGGGGAGCACAAAATTTGTACCACGTCCGTTGCTAGCGAAATGGCCCTAAAAATTGCTTCTACACTGGGAAATTTTTAAAATATTTATCACAACAAGAATAGTTTCAATTTTTTAACTTCCCAGTTAAACCTTGGCGGATTTGTACATTCTTCGTGTTATAACGTTACGTAGATTGATTATTGATTTTAATGAAATATTTTCATGTTATAATACTTCCAGAATTGAAGTATTTTCATGAGTCTTACTCTTAGTCTTTGCTATATTTGTATTTTTGTGTCTACAAGTTTGAGTCTACGAGTATACTTGTCCACGATCTCATACAAGCTCTATGATATGGTGTAATGTCGTTTATGACATGCATCACAATATCACTTGTTCTTCCTTGCCTACTAGAGACTTGAATTATTGTAGAATTATTCTTTGTTTTTTTTTTATTTTTAAGAAAATTAAAATCTTCACCACTCGGCCAGCAACCCAGAAAGGGTAAATGCAACGCAAACTAATCTACACAGCTAATAGAATGCTTCCCTTAACAGTAAAGTTGTGCGAATTCCATAAGAGCTACATTAATGCCATGTGCTTCTTTTTCAATTTCAAATGATGCATTTGAAGATTCCCTTCCCAGGCCCTTACTTTAGCGACGCCACTGCATGTTGGAATGAAAATGGAAGTACTGAGTTTTATTATCACTTAGGAAGGTGTTTAACAATTTGTCTAACTGACACACAAAGTTTGTGCAGGCAGTCGAATTGAATACAATGACTATTTAGTCAGCTGTACAACAAAAATATATATGAAGTAGAGTGTTCTGTAATTTAGCTTATGAATTAAAAAAGATTTCCTATTTCTTATAAAAGATCTGGTTGCCTTGTAGAATTAATTGTTAAGACAACCATAAGAAATTAATCTTCCTTCCTATAAAAAAACATGTTAAACACAAGGCATGTCACGTTTGATGGAAAAAACAAAAATTTTGTTGTGTAGAATGCAGATTGAGACTGTGTCCAGGCGTACATTTAAAAAATTATTCAATTATACACTGTGAAATTTTGTGGTGTATTCTTGCATTACTGTTTGATAATATTCCGTTTGTAATCGACATCTGAATTTCATGTAAATGCCATAAAATGTACAATTCAGTTGCCGAGTTTTTTTGCATGCATTTCAATTTTTTATAAAATATGCCTAACACTTAAAATGTTTTGGAAAATTTAGAAAATGACAAAAAGCTTAAAAAAAAATTTGTCTTAAATTTAAATCATCAAAAGTATACAACGTGTCTGTTTCTTACAATAAAAATTTCTTGTGGCACAGGCTTATTTGAGAGGGGGCACAGGACCCCAATCGTTTGAGTAACCGTCGGGCATTTGAGCTTAACTCCATATGTCATTTGCATAAACAATCAAAAAAAGACAAAAAGACGTCAATGTAATTAATTATAAGGAAGAAATGGAGCATGAAGAAAAAGATTTAAGTAAAGGGAGTTAGCTCACCTGCCATCTACATACACTCCCATGCACACAGATTACACTTAGTAATCCAGAAATCACTCTCATATGTTGAACCATTGCATTTTAAAAGAAAGCAACCAGTCACATACCCTTTTTGGTGATGCACATCTGTATAACAGCAATCCAAAGCTCACACTCAAATCCCAATATGAAACCAGGTGTTTGTGTTGTTTAAAATCCGTCAATGCAGTTATTCGACAAGTCAAGAGTATTACCAAAGCATTGGTTTAATTAACAAACCATAAGGATCCATAAACATCCCCGCCTGCGAATTTATAATTCGATACTGTTTGAGGTTTCGTATTCGACTTCTGTTTTGCTTCTTCTAAAAATAAAATTGTGAAAATGTTAGTGCCTTAAACATATATTTACAAAGTAGCACTATGGATATTATCAGTGCTCGTAAAACAGCACAAAGAACAGTTCTTTCTCTTCAATGTTATCGTAACGACAAAAACTTGATGGTGTCTGACAAATGGCAGAAAACACTGGCAACCAAATAAAGGATGTTATCAAGAGACACGAAATTTTCATTCAAATAAGCAACTGCACCAAGAATTTACCATTCTATAAGACGCCTCCAAGCTTTAGTTGGTGGGTCATATAATGACCAATATAATGATCATAGTATGTCAGCCATTGCTTATCATCGAGTGAACACTTATTTTGTTGCTTTACACATAGTTCTTGCGAAATCAAAAGGAAGGCTTACTTTGGTGGACAAAGATATCTTGTTTATCATTGGTGACGTAGTGTTAAATGACAGCCTAGCAGAATTTTCCCCCAAGTTCACATTTTTTCTGACTTTCCATGATGCATGAGTGTTAATGCCAACACCAACCAAACAGAACAAGAAACACATGCAACTGGGAATGATAACGACCAATTTGCCTTAAGAATCGATTCTATTAGCATCTACCGCAGAGATCCCACGAGATACTACGCATGCCCACCTTAGTCATTTTCTACCTTGCTCACCGCCATTACAGATGGCGTGTTTGGTCATATACGAATAATCCATAAAATAGTTTGCCCTCCGGCTGTGTAGAACGACAAAAAATTTGTAAAAAACTATACAGGACAAAACATCTACATAACCACTGAGTTTGCGCGGCAAACTCTTTTTCTGTGGTTAGATAATCGATTCAACAACAAATGGCACAGGTCAGCGAAGCAATTGAGCAAGCATATCTCCTAGAAGAAGGAAATGATGGGAGAACTACTTTGTATGGCCTTAACAGGAAAGTCGATCAATTTACTGGCTTGATGAATACTTTTGGTCTTGTCGTAAAAAAGCTTAAGCAGGCTTATGATGCTGCACGCCAAATGAACGATGATGTTGTTATGTCTGAAGGTGAAACTGATGACGAACATCAACCAACGGGGCTGCTGCTGTAGTTGCAGATACAGCTCCAGCTCTAGCAAACCAAAGCGATGCTTCGGTAGATGAGCTGATTCACGAAATGACTGAGAATGAGCCGATAGACCAACCATTGCCACCAAACATTTCTAAAACCCTGACCAGCATTTTGTCCATTGGACATTATGAAAATGGAAGGAAGGGGTAAAACGACCCGAAAACTGTGACCTGTTAAGATTTGCAAAGGTGAACCCAGAAATTTGGGACATTGCTAGGAAATCCACACGTAGCATGGATGCACGTCAACAAAAATTACATGCAAGAAGCCTTAATAAAGGGCCTCATTCCGATTTCCCGAATTGCAGGAACGATTAGTACCTCTCTTGGAACAAACACTACAACACATGCACCGACACCAAAGGTTATCTGGGATGGGCTGTCCAAATCAATTGAGCTTCTTGCTTCAGCTAATCATGATCTGAACATGTTCTGCAGGGACTTGGTCAAAGTTGACCTTGACGAAAATTACAAAGCAATCAGCAGCAACAAGGAACCTGTTGCTGCAGAACTGTTTGGTGATGATTTAAAGGAACGCCTGAAAACAGTATAAGAAAGCAAAAAGGCTGCACAGCAACTGACAAGCCAAAAACGGAAACGCTGTGATCAACGGTCGACCAGCTCATATAATTCCAATGTACCTTTTTTGATCCAACGTCGGGGCGGTCATTTGCAAAGCCGACACCAACGACGCAACTATTATCAAACCAACCCAAGAGGAAAGTCGAAACAGGGGAAAAACACTAAGAAAGAAGTGACTCCTACTCTCGATCGTGTAAGTTTTAGTAAACGTGAGTGTAGTTCTTCTGTCATGTCTGGGGGAGACAATGATTGTAGTATAGTTGCAGGCCGGATACAACAATCTATTGGGAAGTGCAGGGAGCTAACTCACGATCCTTCCATTTTATCAGCTGTAAGCGGATACAACATTGATTTTCTTATAGATCCAATCCAGCTGAAACAACCCAACTCTATAAAAATGTCTCCTTCAGAAGTCCAAAATGTCGATCATCAAGTTACAAAATTTCTAGAGAAAGATATCATTGTCACAAACATGCATGAGTTTATCTCCAATATCTTTCTTGGAGCAAAGAAAGATGGATCTTTTAGAATGATATTAAACCTAAAAGAGCTCAACACATTTGAAACATATCACCACCTTAAAATGGAATCTATCCATACTTGTACTCAACTCATGCGACCTGGGTGCTACATGGCATCCGTTAACCTTAGAGATGCCTATTACTCAATACCAATACACATAGAGCATCACAAATACTTAAAATGTATGTGGAAAGATAATCTGTACCAATTCACATGCCTTGGTCAAGGATTATCTTCCGCTCCGCGTTTATTTACAAAGATACTCAAGCCTGTATATTCTAAACTGAAGGAGCTTGGGCACATTGATGGTTACATTGATGACTCTTTTTCAATGAGCTACTCCTATTTAGAATGCGAGCAAAACGTACATGACACTCTACAATTGTTTCAGAAGTTAGGATTTCTACCCCATGAAGATAAATCTGTTACAGAACCCACAAAGATTTTACAACATTTAGGGTTTGTGTTAAATTCAATAGATATGACTATCTCTATATCCATAGAAAAACACAACAAATTATGCGAGGTTGCCAGGGGGGTGCTAAAATCTGACCCTTATACCATACGGGAAGTGGCTAAGTTAATTGGTATAATGGTAGTTTGTTTTCCTGGCGTTGAATATGGCCCACTGTTTTATCGTAATCTTAATAGGGACAAAACAACAGCCCTTAAGTTTAACAGAGGTAACTTTGATGCGACATTGAAACTCTCTCCTTCGGCGCTGGAGGACGTATCTTGGTGGATTAATTAATATTACCACATTGGGGGGAGGGGGCTGCCACTCTCACCATTGCGATAAAATTGCCAGGGAAATATGGGCGTGGTGCAGAATCAGGGACATATGGCTAACTGTCAGCTATATTCCTGGGAACCTTAATGTGATGGCTGACAAAGCTTCCTAAACATTTGATGATTCCAAAGAGGGGAAGCTTGATGTTGAATTATTTCTTGAAATAACAGCAAATTTTGGGACCCCAAAAGCTGACATGTTTACTTCTAGACTAAACTTTCAACTTAAACCCTATGTTTCGTGGCACCCATATCCACAGGCGTGGGCTATTGACGCATTTTGCATTGATTGGAGTAAATTGTTTCTTTATGCTTTTGCACCTTTTAGTGTTATATCACAAGTTTTACAAAAAATAGAAATCGCCCAGGCACGGACAATTCTCATCGTGCCGAATTGGCCAACTAAATTCTGGTATCCGATGCTGGCAAGATTAATGATTCACCGACCCATTCTCCTACCCAAAGACAAAAGCAACATGAGCTTACTATCCAATCAAACAAAAGAACATCCACTCAAAGGGAGACTAAGACTAATAGCTTGTCTCTTATCCGGAGATCACTCTCAAGTAAGGACATTTCATCACAAGCTCAAGCAACAATACTTAATTCTTGGCGGCCAAGAACACAAAAACAATATCAGGTGTACCTTAACAAATGGCAACTCTATGTTAATAAACGGAATGCAGACTCCCTTCATCCAACTTTACAGGTAGTTTTAGACTTTCTACAGCATCTATTTGATCAAGGGATGAGTTACAAATGCATAGACACTGCTCGAAGTATGTTATCTTCATTCTTTATTACCGAAGGGAATTTTACGATTGGTACACATTATATGTTTCAGAGATTTATGAAGGGATTGTTCCAACTTAGACCAGCACTACCAAGATATCAAGTGAACTGGGACACCTCCATTGTTTTAGAGTATATAAAGACACATACTTGCATGTATATTGCAAGAAAAGGAAATACTTTAAATTCATATTTGTTACTATTTCTGGGTATGTTTGATACATCTCCAATTAAAATATGTTTATAACTTAATGTCGTATTTGCTGGTAGGCATAAATTGTGTCGACATGACTTTTAAATCTCGTGGGATCTCTGCAGTAGATACTAATACAATTAGGAAATTGAACGAAACTTACCTGAAGTTGAAGTCCCATTGGGATTCTATTAGGATCTACAGAGCAGAGATTACACGCCCATCCATCATGTTACTGCCTCCCTGCATATCGTTCATATGCACATTTAGGTGGTTTATGTGGCCATTATCTTTGAAATATGACCAATGTGCGCATGGGTAGAATCTCGTGTAATCTCTGCTCTGTAGATGCTAATAGCATCCCAATCGCTCTTCAACTGCAGGTAAGTCTCGTTCAATTTCCTAATTTTGTGTCAATATTACTGAATTTAATGTTGACATCAAATAAAATACATCAAAGATAATTGTTTTCTGTTGATCATGCATAGGATATTTAGCAAGAGAATCCAATAAGAAATGAAAAAAATGTTGTGCTTCTTGAAGATAGTCATGTCAGAAAAATTAAAATCATTCCGCATAATGATATGCATAACTGAAATCCTGTGATGTGTCATTATTTTGACACATTTTATTGAATTTTTAGAATAATATTTGAAATGAAGTGTTGGAATGTATTGCTAGCGATGATGCTGAAAAGTTCAGTGTTTTCCAAAGTTAAATTATCTAAAATTTATTTGTAATTGTTTAAAAAACCCATGAAAGGCAACAATTGTTAGTCATATCAAAAATGCCTTTCATCAAAGACACAGAAAGGACACAAAATAGTGATCATGCAAATCTGTAGCAACTAATTTTGGCAAAGTTATCTAACGCAAAATTTGCGAAATATAAAGATCTAAATGAAAAACTTCCAACTCTCTTTCCATGTAAATATTCAGGTCCTATATTCACTATAATATTAATGGTTTTACGTTGACATACCATCTAAATTGACCAAAGATCTTTAAGATCTTGTTGACTGTT